AAAAAAAACATGCTTTTTCTTTTCACAAGTTATATATACATGAAGAAGGCCGTAGAATGAGTAGCCGTGGCAAGAAGAAAAGCAACAAGAATGAGAGGGATAATCAGAACAACACTTACAATGATAACAAATCATCTCAAAATTACAAAAAGTATGAAAATCAATAAGTTAGACTTGTAATGATAAATGACTCATTTTGTATCAATAAATGAATATAAATAAATAAAAAATAACCAAACAAATAAGATTGTTAGATTAATCAACTATCAGAAGGGTAATGACTCATCTTAAAATTACAGACAGAATAATTTTAGATTAATGATTCGTCTTTCTTCACATCTTACAGTCCTTTGAACTGCTCACTGGTCAATCAACAAGAAACAAAAAACAAGGGATAGTCCGAAAATGATAGGTTTGAAAATATATGTCATTTACGGAAGTACTTTTCCTTAATAAAGATTTTCTGATGAATCCCAATAAATACTTCATGAGTAGCTTCTGTTTTGGTCAAGACGTTGAAAATGGCAACACCAAAGGTCGATTTTCATGCTAAGAAAAAGTTTTGTTTGTTTTCTATTCCAGTGATTCATTCAAATTAGTATCCACTTATTGTAATTGTCTGTAGTAGTTTTGTTTAGTTTATTTTCTTTTACGGCATATCCACCTCAATGGGTTATTTAATGATGACAAGATTTTTAGGATAGGTTCGTATGAATAGAATGTGTATACTTTCCAAGAAATCAGTTTGTAGATCGAGTTTCATTGACGTGTTTTTGTAAAGAGGTTTTTTTTGTCGAGAGTCAAATTTATTTTTTTTCAAAAATGTATTGCTGGTATTTTTTACTACAAAAATCTATTTTTATACTTTCATAGTGTTTTGATTCCAATTTGCGGATTAACTATTTACCCATAGCTCGAACCCTAACAGGTGCTACCACCCCGGGTCAGAGTGAACATGGGAGCAACAGTAATTAACAGGTGCTTCCAGGCTCAAAACCTCTCGGATGTAATTTATGATACCCAGGACGATATGTAGTAGTAGTAGTAGTAGCAATAGTAATAATAATCAATCCCGGAACTGGGTGTGGTCTTAGGGTCGCAGCGCAGTTGAACTCATGACCAGCACCTAGCCAGCTTGAAAACCGGAAAGACAATCTTTCATGCGAATTGGAAAAAAGAAAACCTGGCGGAGTGCATCCCTCTCCAGTTAGAACCACAGCCGATATCCTCCAATTTGAAATCTCGCCCTGGTCACGTTGATTATTATCGGAGAAAATCGTTCGCCTTGGCCGTTGACTTCAATCTAGAAAACGGATGGTTTCTCAGCAATGCCGCATCACCATCACCACACTGTCAGCCTGCATAGCTACCCCATGCTACTAGATGGCAGTTGACCTTCCAAGAAGGTTCATCTTCCCTTTTTAAACGTTTTGTTTTTAATCCTGTTGGGTGTCTAGCAACTTCCCTCACAACCGTTTTAATCGCTGATGATTCAATCATGCGGCAGTTAGTACTGGGTTACGTGGCATCACTAGCATTCGTAAAATCAACTAACATTATCTATCTATCTATCTATCTATCCAGGGTGCCCCCCCCCCAAAAAAAAACTGACGTAGATTAAAATGTGAATATCTGTGTAACTACATATACCAACCAAATGAAATTAAATAGACTTCAAGTTGAACAATAAAAGATTTATTTATCAAAATTGTAACAAGATATTCAAAGGGATGTAGATTTTATAACTGATTTCATAAAGTATCACAAATATTCAATACGCGCACCACCTGTGACACGACACACGTCAAATTGGTAGTCCAGCTTCTGACAAACACGCTTTAGCATGTCATGTCGGTAGATGGGTCGGGCTTACTAGTGATAATGACAATGTGTTGTTGAAATGCCCACCACATTCACCTGACTTGTCTCCTTGTAATTTTTTTTCTATGGGGCTAAAATGACAGGTCTATATCACCTTTCTTTTTACAAGACTAGAGGAACTGAAGCAGAGAATCACTGAGGCACTGGAGAATGTTACGCAAGACATGCTACAGCGTGTTTGGCAGGAGCTGGTCTACCAACTTCATATGTGTCGTGTCACAAGTGGTTCGCATATTGATTATTTGTAAAAGTTTTGTGAAACCGGTTATAAAGTCTACATCACTTTGAATATCTTGTTCGAATTTTGATAAATAATTCTTTTATTAATCAACATGAATTCTTCCTTTCGTCTCTCGTTATACATAAAATAAAATTTAACTTAGGAGATACAGATTATGTTAAGATACTGAGTCCTTGTTTTAGCCATATTTTTTAATTTTATTTTTGATTTCTGCAATAAATCTGTTAGTTTCATTTCCAATGACTATTTTGGACAAAAATGACTTGAAAAAAAGTGTTTAAACCTTTTCTTCCTTGTGACTCATTTTTGATGTGAAAAAAATGTCAGCCCCACATAAGCATAAACAGAAATTCCATGTATCAGGAAATACATTTTATTTACAAAAGCAGAATATAGTAGAGGATATAAATCCTAACTAATGAATACACTGCTCCTAATATCTGGTATTACCTTCGATTCCCTACTCATTCAGGATGCGACACAAGGTCAGTTTTTTTTAACGTGTCGAACCCAAGTGTCTCCATTCAGGCCACTCGTCAATTTCTGGTCTTAGCTAGTCATAGCCAGTCAAAACAACGCTACGGAACAGATCCGAGGATTCTATCCAAGCAGCGGGGAGAGTGAGTCCCGGCGCAGAAGAGAAACTACAACAGCATCTCCTCCGCCCCAAGCGGGAGCCTCCTCAAGGCGATTTTCTAAGCTGGGCTTAGATGTGGCACAAGGCCGAGTGTATACGGTGAGTGAGTAGTGAGTTCGATCTTCACTTGGGGAGGTTCGAACTCCTTACTCAGTCGTAATTGTTCTATAGTGAGACAAGCTTGCTAACCATTACATCACGTCGAGGTGCCCCAAACTGACCCTGGTCTCTATCAGCTCGTCAAGTTGAACTTCCCAGCCTTGGTTCAACTTCAGGCGTATGGTTTCTCTCTTTTCAATCTGTATCTCAAGGCATATTTTAAAACTTCCCAGGCCCACGTTGTGAATCATTGGTTTAAACGCTGACCGGGGTTCTTTTCAGTGAGTTTACTGGGAAAATATTTTTCTTGTTGGTGATTGTTTTATATGGCTTGTAAACGATGTATTGCAGTTGACTGGGAGCACAAAAAATGCATAAACTTAAAGGATAATTCTCTAATTTCACTAACATTATATCAAAAAATGGCGTTGCCAACTCATATCAGCTGTTAAGGAGGAGCCCAAGATAATTTATTGTCATTTTAAAGATTTTCTCAGTGTAATCCTGTTGTTAAAAGAAGATACCTGACCGGAGATGTGTATGAGAATAGGAACATTGTACATATTTAATCCATTAATAATTTTCAGCTAAAAACAAAGGTCTTACCTCCTGGTTTTTACCCTGCGAAGGTGTGACACTTTGCAAATGCTTCCGCATTATATATCGGTAGTTTTCTGTCTCATTGCTTTGTTTGGAGCCATGAGATACAGGGTTGTGAGTTTTGGGGGTGTTTTCTGTGACAGAAAGAATAGGGGCGTTAATCTGCATGCCAAGCGTTAAATTGAGTGTGAAATGGGGGAAAAAAATTTGCAGAGGAATAAGAGAGCTAAAGAATTTATGATTAAATAGGCAAAGAATATCAAGAGCTAGGAACGGAATGGACGATAAAATGATGAATTTGAGTAAATAGGAAGAAAAAAAACTGAATATATAAAAAGAGGAATATAAAAAGCTACGAAGATGATGAAAATAAAGGAAGAAGATAAGGAAAAAGAAGAAAACGAAAGAAAGAAAAATACAGAAGAAAAGAGAGAAGGGAAAAGAAAGAAACGATAAGGAAAAGAAAAATGGAAAAAAGAAGGTAAAAGTAAAGAAGAAAGAATGCAGGAAAAGAAAAGAGAAAAAAGGAGAGATGAAAGAAAAGAAAAAGAAGAAAAAAAAAGAACAGAGAAATAGTAGAAGAAGAAGAAGAAGAAGAAGAAGAAGAAGAAAAAAGAAGAACGGATTAGAAGAAATGAAAAAGAAAGTAAAAGAAAAGAAGAAATAATAATAAACAAGAGAAGAAAAAACGAAGAAAAAAGATGATAGAAAGAAAGAAATAAAAAGACAGCGAAAAAGATTATTGATAAAGAGATTAGGAAATATCATTCTTTTATATTATTTTCAGCCGTTTTATTTTTCGTTTCTATAAACTAACAACAGATCATGACTGACGTCGGTGATTGGATAAAAAGAGGATAAAAACTAGCATTGACTATGGCTGGAGTGACACCAACAAAACTGATGCTGGAACTAATGAGAACGATGATATTTGCAATAGACGCCTTTCAGATTATCGACTTCACTACTTACGGCCATGAGCAATTGTCAACATTGCAAAATGGAGGCGCTATCGTAAGAACAAATGTCACCGGTGTAGATATTCGTCTAAACGTAATAATATTTCTTCAAAAGAATTCTTTTTGAAACATTTGGAACTTCTTCATCTATGTGTTGTCGCCCTTCAAAGCATTGGCGATCATGGCTCTCCACAATTTTCTGTCATTTCAAATTCATAATATTCTTGTTTTTTTGTTATTTCTTCTGAACCCTGTTTTGCCATCCATTTATTTGCTACCTAGGTTATTCATTGGTTTCTTCTTATTGCCTTCAATCTGTCCTGTGAGTATCAAATTTTCCAAATCCTCTTTCCTCGTTATGTATCCTAGAAATTTCAACTGTTTCTTACTGATGTTAATTATGTGTCTTTTTTGCTTCCGTTGTCTCTAACACTTCGTAGTTGCTTACATGTTAGCTCCATTGTATTCTCAGCATACTTCTGTAGAACATTCTGCTTCTTGAAGTCTCTTCTTCCTCTGTGAGGATATTGTCCAGCATTCACTGATTTTACATAACAGTTCAGTAAAATTCCTCTTACTTATAGGCTTGAAACACCGGTTCCCATACGATCACCGAAGTTAAGTAACATCGCACCTAATCAGCACCTAAATGGGTGACCACTTGGGAATACCAATCGTTCTAAGTTTGGATGCGCGGCTTGTGTAATGGATAATGGCTCAAATTTGTTAATCGGAGAGCCGAGTTCCAGTTCCCGTTGAGTTCGTGATATTCAATTACGCGCAAATACCTTTTGGATAGGTAATCCACTTCTTTCCCCTAGCTATGGGTTAATTAGTAAGACTTGTATGACTAAGAAAAAAGTCCTTACAGTCTAAAATATTTTCTGACTTTAGATAACCTGCAAATGAGCGAGGACCTGTCGTAAATGAATCAATCTCTTCCTTAATTCTTTGCTTAGCTTCTGGAAGACATCTTTCGCTATCCCAATGTGTCTTCGGATTTCATTGTCGCACTTTCCGTCCTCTGTCCCAGATATTTAAATGGTTGTACTTATTTGATTTTTGGTATCTCCAATATGTAATTTGCATGTTAGGTTGTTCCTTTTGCTAACAACCATGCGTTCTGTCTTCTTGCAATTGATGTTTAGTCCTTCATTTCTTCCTCCATTTCATTCTGTAGAAGTTCTTGTAGTAGTTTCCTTTCTATATCTGCTATTAATACTCTGTCATTTGCATGTCTTATGCTGTTAACATTGTGGCCGCAAATAATGAATTGTGGAAAGACTTCTCTCGGGTTGAATATGTCTACTGTGACACTATTTAGGTTGCTAGAAAGAAAGAAGAAAAAAAAATAAAGGCGAGAATTAAATTTAGGTGATAAGAAGCCATCACGAAAAGGACACTAAGCGATGTTATTCTTTTTAACAAAGAAAAATGCTAAAGGTTTTATTCTCATTAGCGAGGAAAGTAAGGTCGCGGATGTGTCGGATTTAATTTAATTTATGACGATGCACCGAATAAGATATATCCAATCTGCCCATGGCAATGGTAAAAATTTCAAGTTGGACAAGCGACCCCCCGCAGAGTGCTGGGAGATAAAAATTAATAAGGTCAATCTTGACCGAAGCCAAAATGTCCGTTGAGCCACCTCCATGTCATTTGGGAAAAACACCTGTTTATTGTCAGGGCTGGCTATGATAGCAAAATTATTTTATCAGAACGAATAATTGGCACCAAGGTGCGATACGTCCAATTGACCACCCACTTGTTTGGCGAAGGTCCCGAGTGACGAATTCCATATGAAATTCGGTTAAGATAAGTGTCTAAGGACTTGTTGTCGGGCAGAAGAAAGGAAAGAAAGGAAGAAAAGAAAAAGGAAGATTTTTTTTTTCTTTGAGCAAGATGTTTTTAAACCGAGGCCAGTCTGGCCACACCCACACTGCTGGGCGCCCATTGGCTGAATGCTGGCGTGAGCAGCAGGCGAAGGTAATCATGTGAAGAAGAAGGGGAGGCCTGTTGACACCACAACTGAAGGGATCGGTATGAGATGCCACTGTGAGAGAGAGGGGAAACCCGTTGACACCCTCTGAGGGTATAGTGAGATACCAATATGAGAACAGAAGAAGGTGGGAGGACGAAAGACTTCCAAAAATGGAAAATAATAAATTTTCCTGACCAAAGAAGTGGATTGTGGATTTAGAATTATCAAGGAACCTCAAACAAGTCAAAGCCCACCCCGGTTTTGGTCGGCGTCCATATAAGCAGAGTCGCAGCGAGTGAAAGGCAGTTCCAGTTGAGTTGGCAGTTCGAGTTAAGTTCGCAGTTCGCAGCTGAGTTGGGCCCGCCTCGCAGGAACCTGACTGAAAGATTCCACGCAAATCACGACCTCAACTTCTAATCAAGAACAATTTATTTTTGAAGAACGACTTACTCACACCACCAAAACAAGTTTTACGAATATCGCCTGAAGATACACCAAGAACCAGTTTCTTAAAGAACAAACAACTTAAGATGTGAAGACTCGCCTAACAAAACACAAAGTTTCACGAATCCATATAGTGGTTTGGGAGAAAAAATCAGTCCTGTATTTCGCAACCAGATATAAAATATTGTTATCCTTTTTAACACATTTGAACTTTTCGAGTTATTATTTTATTTTCTTTTACATATATTTGTGCGGTATTGCCCTTGTTCGGACCCAACTTGCATTACGGCCCGGCGACTGATTGATTTCGTCTACCTAAGATCAAATCACAACGTGGGTAGGTTAGACTAGAAATCAAAGCAGTTACTTCGGTAACCAGACGTTGGAGGCGAGCTGGGAACGACAAGGCTGATACCGAATCTTACCAGATTCCCATCCGAATCAGCAAAAGGTTAGAACGTCACACTAGTAACAAGACGTATTCTTATCTTACACCCATTTCTAATTTTGTGTATTTACTGAATTCATTTTCTATTTGTAGACATTTGCTGTCACTATGAGTTTGGGGTTATTCTAATATCCTTTCCAAATATGCCGTGGTTACTTCGTAACCACTTCAAAAATATATATTTTTTATTGAATTTTCTTTGTAATTTCGAGGTGAAAGAGAATAATAATTGAATTATTTAAACGGGCGTCTTCATTATTTTTTGGTAGACACATTCTCTAGAACAAGCCTTCCTAAATTGGAGGTTGCGATCCATTCAGTGGTCATCTAAAAATTCAGTGAGGTCTCCAGTGCAACTGATCATTTTTCAAAATAATATTCTAGTTTTTGCATCATTATTAGGTTATTGTAATCTTTTCCTCATTGTTTTTGATTTTGTTAATTTTTTAGCTCAGCAGCTGCTTCTAATTCGTATTTATTTTAATTTTTTACCAAAAAAAAAAAATAAGGTATTTACGTTTGCTAAATATATGTGAATAATTTCCTTCTCTTCCGAGTCGCCTATATTGCGAATAAAAATATTCTACAGTTGCTTAAAAGATTAAATAACTAAATACATATATAAATAAATAGGTAGTTAAAGATTTCTGAAAAGAAGAATTGTTTCAAGGGCGGAGTTTGCTTCGAATAAAATCTCGCAGCCACTAAAGTAGATTTTTACGCTTCTGGTCTTCTGCAGCGAAAAACTCCAACAGTTGATTTTATTGGCGACGCCCCACAGGCATAGAAGGGCCTGAATTTCCTCATCCAAACGGAGATGGGGATTGATGGGGATTGGGGGGAGATCGCGATGAATTTCTTTTAACAAAAGATTGTCGTAATTCAAATGTTTGGGAATGCCCTACCCTCGACTTCCTGAGTGTTTACCTCTTGTCTCCAGAGTTGGCATTAGGTTCTGAGAAATAATTATGATGTCGAATAATTTCAAGGAAGATGAACGTTCTTCACTTGAAATATTGGTACCTGACGATCTTCATTACTTACCATGATATATATATATATATATATATATATATATATATATATATATATATATATCAAGGTAATATATATATATATATATATATATATATATATATATATATATAAATGCGTATATTTCGGCAGCATATCTTCATTAAGGCAGTTTTCGTTAAATAATTTACACATGTTCTGTCTACTTATTCTCGATAGGATCCTTTCATACTTGGGAATGAGCTATTATTATGGTGGTATCTTTCACACAGAGTTTACCGACTATTTTGTGTTAGGAAGAATAACGTGTTTTAGCCTTCTAGTAGCACACCGATACTAATATTAGGATTAGTGTAGCCATTGATGCACTAACACTGAATACGAATATAGAAAGACGAAATACGCGAGCGTAACAAACAAAACAGTTAATAAGGCAAACAACTTACGTACATATATTAAAGATTTACATATGTCCTAAATCAAATGATTGTCCATATTGTCCCAAAGGAACGAGTAGGTTTACAGAACGAGAAAAAAATAACATACCATCTATATGGCCCTTGATAGTCCGCAGATAAGTGAATGGAAATTACTTTTTTCTTTCGCTAGGCCGTGCACATGTTGACCAGTTTCCACGTGTGTGGACACCCTGGTGGTCAGGAAGGTAAAAAGGCTGTTCCTCCAAAAAACGGAAGCAAAGACAAAAAAGGACAGAAGAGTTCTACTCTCTAAAGGGGCCAAAACTCCCATGAGCTCAACCCAAGGGAAAACAATTGTGGTCTCCCTACAGAGCTATTTTGTGTGGTTATTGAAAGATGGGAAGAAAACGCCACGTTGGTTCACATTGTATTTATTTCCGAGTACTTTCGACATAGCATAATGTCCTCAACAGGGTATTACCACAACCATGAACACTAGAATATATATCTTATAATTAACAATACCCTATTGGCTATTCTCAAATAATGTCCATCCATCCATCCATCCACTTCTTTTATGTCAAATGCCTGTTCATATCAAAAGCAATCTGGATAGTCACTCTTTTACTAAAAACTATCGTGTGTTTTTTTTTACAGACATAAAATCTGCACGTCATGTCTAAACCAATTTCTAAAACAGTTTCAAGTGGCTAGGTTTTGAATTCAGCGTTTTCCTTCTTTTAGACTGGTTGCCAACCGCAAATAGAGAGGCCAGTCAGCTCTGTTATTTAATCTAGAACTGGACGATGGAGAAGAAGATTCATGTCTTTCCTGAGAGTATTTGTGCTAAAGTGAGTAACAAATTCGACATGAATTTGAAAACTGATCATCGATTTCCTGTTCACCACTAGCCGCTAAACTATCTGCAAACCCATGGTTTATAAAAAAAATGCAGGTTTATACGAAAGCTTTTACTAAACAATCAAAAGCAATTTTTTTTATAATAAAGTTAGTTAAAATTAAACCCTCCTCATGCCATCTAACAAGAAACAGAGAAAAAACTTTTGAGCTATTATAATATAATTCTCAGTATGGAGAATCAACATTTCTAACAGATGAGCAACAGACACTTTTTTTATGACTTGTGAATATGTGTGAGTGTCTGCCTGGCAGTCGCACCCAGAATACATTACAAACTATTTGAAATACTCCATCATCAAAGAGTAGTCGTTCAAGTAGGCTAAGTATGAGACTAATGAAGACGAACATCTCTGAAATGGAGAACCTTCTCGCAAAAACAAATTAATTTTGCAAAGAATAAAATACGGAGCCAGTGTAGATGCCTTCCTTGCTGTAAAACACCATTT